AGATAGAGGAGAGCAGGAGGCGGGGTTACCAATCTACTTGCTCTGGAGAGCAGAGTTCGCTGCTTTTAGATGTTGTTTCCAAAGTCTCCAGTAGCAGAAAAAAGGTGCTAGATTTGGCACTAGGTGCTTTTTGAAATAAAAGTGCTTAATAGTATAAGCGTTCTGATGGCATTTTGGCGAAAGCATTTTTATCCAAAACATAATTAATGTGCACAAATAAGGAATAGTTATATTAACCATACATGTAAGCAGAGTTTTATAGGGCCCCCACGAACTTGGGGCCCTATAGGCAACAGCCTAATGGTAAATCCCCCCCTGGGAGTGCATCTAAATTAACTAGACTCTGGAACATCGATGGGGTCTGTTCAGTCGAACACAGGGCTGTTAATCGTCCATCCTCACACATATAAAGCCCATTTGAACCATTGTTAGGGCTTTTGTTGATGCAGTGATTCCTGAGCTCCTAATGGTTCGTTTTAATGCTTGTCTTCATGTGGAAATAGTGCAGGCAGTGTCTGGAGGATGAAGGGGTTGATACAGCAGACAGGCATTCCTCCTCTGATTATCTAATTCTAAAAGAACCCCTCTGGGACATCATGTTTAGGTCAGTGCCATTTGGTTGCACCTCAGACTGTCCAGAAGCTCTGGATGCCCTGGTCATGATGTGGGAGGAGCATGTCCTGACGCTGTCAGACACACAAGCACACAGAGGTCATTCAAACTACTGAGGGCTGTTTAGATCTGCTCCAGTGACATCTGTCTCACTACATTACTCCAGCCGGTTGCCATGCAGCGTTTCAGACTCACTTTCTGGATGACATCAGTTTAAACCCTCTGAGGATTCATATTCTTTACTGTCATCAAAATATGTAGCATCATTTTTGTATCTCTGCTTATTTCTGTACAGTATGTCTGCTTCTGTCTCCTTGAACCCCAGTCGGCCTCAGCAGATGGCCGCTCACACTGAGCCTGGTTCTGCTGGAGGCTTCTTCCTGTTAAAAGGGAGTTTTTCCTCTCCACTGTCACTACAAGTATGCTTGGTGTGAGGGATTATCTTTGAGTAAATGAGTTGATGCAATCAACTGTTTTTCCTTAGATAGAAACATTTAAATCCATTTGACTGTATGATCTGGTTGAATTGTCTCTCTAAAGTGCCTTGAGATGATGTGTTGTGACTTGGCACTATATAATTAAATGGAATTGAATTTAATAATTTTTCCCCGGCACATTACCTATTCCATATCAGTAAAGCTACCCAGTAAAGTTGATTTTTAATGCTGACTAGAGGAATTTAAAATTGATATTTTTTTGGACGAAAAGTATCAGTTTGCATGTGCCGCAGTACAACCTATATGCATGACTTCATATAGATATATCTATCTATCTATATATCTATCTATATATATATATATATATGAAGTCATGCATATAGGTTGTACTGCGGCACATGCAAACTGATACTTTTCGTCCAAAAAAATATCAATTTTAAATTCCTCTAGTCGGCATTAAAAATCAACTCTACTGGATAGCTTTACTGATATGGAATAG